AAGCTGTCCCAAACGAAGCCTAAGATTTTAACATAAAATCCTACGATACAAATCCTAACTATATTGGCAGGGAGCGAGAGAAAACAAATATATTTTAAAATCCTTGCATATATGTACCACCATAACTTATTGCTCTTTTTTATAAAATAGAATAAACTATTAAGACTTTATTAAGGATAATTTTATTATTATTTTATTTTTCTGCTCATAATTATAGTTTTTGTCTAATTATTATTGTTTTATTATTTTCAAATAAAAATTTATAGTTAAAAGATATTATCTACAATAGTTTTAAAATTTTTTTCTATAATAATTTTACAAATCAGAAAGAAAATCATTTCGATCAAGGTCTAAAATTATTAAAACTTGATTTTAAATAATTTTTTTACTGCTTTTTATTATAATTTTTTTTAATCGAAAAAATAATGTTAAAAAATTATCTAAGGCGACCTAAGACTTTCATACAATTTTGAAATAAAAAAATACAAAAAAAAAGTTTGACAGCATGGGCCCACCGATTGGACGCCCATCAGGCTCAGTCTGCTGGCGCTATGGCCTAATCACGAACGCCATACTGTAAGGCCCACTAAGGTCTGTAGCTGGGATGGCCTCAATGTCTGATAGTACTTGCAGCCCGTTGGAACTACCAAAAGCCAGCCTCTTTTTTTCCTTTTAATAAAAATCAACGACTTAGCTTTAGTAGTTGTTAAGGACTAATATATTATTTATATAATAATAATAAAAAAGTTCATTAGTTATTTATCTAGTTAAGACCAAATTGTCTTACGAGTCAGCTTGACTCACACTGAAAACCTTAACCGAAAGGCCAAAGCCTTTCAATTGATACATGTTGTAGACAATATCATCAACAATTAGGTTGCTATACATAATTGATGCAAGTCGTTGTCTATAAGCTTGATGCATGTCGTTGGCGCCAAGGCTTATACCCACCAAATTTATCATTTGTTGTTGTTCATAATATTGTTGTACGTCTTCACCAATCCAACTGGCACACGCATTATTGATTCCAACTTCAATTCTCGATATTAGTAATTGATCAAACTAGACATTTTAGTCTCGAATATCCTCTTTTTAAAGAGAATGATATAATAAATCATAAAAGATTTAATGAAAATAACTACAACAGTTTAAAATTCCTCCAACTATCATGGATTTTATCATTCCCAATTTTTTTTTGCTATATTGTATCAATATATTTTGAATTATGAGGAAGAATGTTATTTATAAGTTATTGTTGTGACCTTGAATATTCACGGCGATGGAGAAATATAAAGTTTAATGTCTTAGCTTTGTACGAAGATCCAGCACGCATACAGATAAAGGAGAGATGATGCATTATTTATAAGAGACCAAGATTTTTATGTGAAAAATTCTAAAAAGGGGAAAAACCATGAGGCCTCACCCAGTTTGAATGAATCACTATTATTTGCAGTCGATTACAAATAAGGTCATTCCTTGTGGGAATGCCTTGGCTTGATTTAATAAATACACATCATATAAAGTGAATTATATGATGGGACTTGAAAAGATCATTATTGATATATTTGTTTGTTCGGCAGAATCATAATCGGCGGGCGACAGAGGTCGAAAAGCTCATTTTATGGCGATGAAGATCGAAAGGATCGTAGTCTCCAGTGATAGAGATCGGAAGGACCGTTGTCTTGTGACAGAGGTAAGAATGACCATAGTTCGACGGAAGTCTGATGTTTGATAGAAATCCAGTGACGAGCGGAAGTCCTGTATCAGATAAAAGTTGGACAAAAATACGGTGACGGGCATAAGTCCAAAAATGGGCAGAAGTCCGACATCGGGTAGAAATCCGACAACATGCAGTAGTCCAACGTTGGGTAGAGTCTGGTGACAGGCGAAAGTTTGGGGTCAGATAGAAGTCCAACGAAAGTCCAACGTTTACTGGAGGCTGGATAGAAAACTCGGAGTTTGTCAATGGCTGGGTAGAAGTTCGATGTCACTTGGCGGCCAGACGGAAGTCTGGCATCAGTCAACGGTTAGGGAGAAGTCCGTCGGTAGTCGAGGAGGAGTCTAGTGGCAAGAGAACTCTTCCTTCTCTTCATTCTCTCCTTCTATTCCTTCTCTTGTTGCTTGGACCCCCTTCTTCCTCCCCTCTCCATGAGAAATGAAGGGTCTATTTATAATTTTCTAAGAGTGACATGACTAGTAAATAGGAGGAAGATCGAGGATAATTTGGAAGTGGTTTGAATGGACGGCGGATGTTGAATCCCTTGATTGTACGTGGAGTATTTATCAGGCATTTTAATGTCTTAATGGTATCAAAATTTGATGATCTTAGGTTCGTTGGATTCGTCTCGTCAAGCCACACGATTCGACTATAAGCATGTCACATTTGGAAACTATTTGGTAATTCAAATTATGGATTGAACCATCCAAAGGAGCTTTGGATCTTTGATTTAGACTCATTTGGGCTCGGATTGAGTTGAATTTGGTGCTGTTGGGTTTGTATTTTCGAGACATTCATTTACATGATAAAAGAGATTTGAACAAGTCATCAAAAAGAGAGTATTTAATATAATGTCATCTTAGCTTTAATAAATTCAAGCACACGCGATCAATGATCTTATGATTTTTATATGAAAAATGTATCAATGCCTTATTATTATTATTTTGTTTAAAAACCATTTTAAATATTTATAGTACTAGTTATAATAGTCTATAGGGAGAAGGAGATGTGCTAAATCTAACTGCGCTTATGACTCTCTTTCTTCTTGTGGATGTCAAAGAAATGCAAATAATCGGCAAGAACAAGTTGGAATCCCAATCATTATAAAAAAAATTAAGGTTTTATTTAGGACGACTATTTTATTACTTTTTAAAATAACTTTTTGTATGAAAATTTTTAGTTAAATATTTTTTTATGCTAACAATTTATTTTAAGAAGTAATAAGAAAGTCATTCTAAATGAAGCTTAAGTAGTGGCTCTGCTCATAAATATATATATTTTTATAATTCTAAGTTTTATGACCATTTTGCATGTTCATAGTACCACCAATATTAATAATTGTATAAATTTAATTAAAAATTTATCAAAAAATTTGATATATTTTCAGTAGATCATTTGTTGATATATTTACTAATTATTTTGGTGGATAAATTTTGTCAATATCCTATTCAAAATCAAAATAGAAATCTCACCGTAATCTAATTCTTCCTTCATTTTAGCAATCCCTTTGTGTGAGGGCATTCCTTTGCTGGCTCCCTCCTGAACAAAGCTATAATCATTGATTTCCATCATTGCTCACTATCATCAATCATTGCTCGCCATAAATGCTATCATTTTCCATACCCATCTCTCATTCATTATCATTTACAATATTCAAACTTTGTAGTCTTGCCCCCAGAATATAGTGGGAGGAATTTTTTTAAGTAATGTGTGTGTGAGAGGGAAAATTATTGTGTCTATGTTCGGATTCATTCGAACATTAATCTCGACGTGCCACATCACCCAAATGCATCGAAACCTGATGTCCTGATGTTTTTGGGTGACATGACGCATCTGAATTGGATGTCCGGACGTAATAATTCTCCGTGAGAGAGAGAGAGAGTGTGTGTGTGAGAGATTAAGATATTATAGGAAATTAAGGTTTAACATTTCCTTAATTTCTAGCATCAAATAATTAATGAGCCTTTCATTTTGTTTTGTTGAAATTGAAGATTTTCATTATGTGTTAGGAAACGATTAATCAGACACAAAAATAAATAAATTATGATATGCAAAACACAAGCGAACATAAAAGATTTATATAAAAAATTCAAATATGAGAAAAACCATAGGGGAGGAGGGAGAACAAGCAGCATTCCAAAAGTATCTTTACAGCCAAAAATTGTTCTGGCGACACTGCCTTGGAAAACCCCATCGGGAGCACTGCCCCTTGACCTTGTGACCTAACCGAGTAGATCAAACCTCGCCAGGGGGAGCTGCCCCCTTAGACCCCTAATATATCTGCGAAGCGTATGACCGTCAAGGGCGTCAACCAACAAAGGTCAAACTAAATTCGTGGCAACTCCAGTATGGTAGTTTATTATACATGTGATGGCTTCATGGTATATTTAATAATATTATTTTGTTTAAATATTTTGATAAGTGATCAACTTAAATTAAAATATCTATGTAAACTGTAAACCGAATTTTCTTTTTGAAGATTAGATTTAATATCCATCGAGAACATGCTAATGGTCTTAACAAAATAATAAATTCAAGCATTAATATGACATTATCATATCAGCCAGAATTCAAATTGAGTGTTGTGCTCCAAGAGGGGCTATGGAGAGCTCTCTGAAGCTCTTAGGAGGACTCTTCTATAGTGTCTATATATCGGCAAATTATTGCGTCCAAAGTTCCGATTCGTCCGGACACCAATCCAGATGCTTCACATCAGTAAAATACATCGGGTCCCGATGTATTTGAGTGACGTGGCGCATCCGGATTGATTGTCCGGATGTCAGGTGACCGGATGCAATAATTCGCCCTATGTATCTCTCAAAAGTTTCTTTTAGGTGCCAATATTCTCTAAAATTCTCCTTAAAAAATCCCATTAGTGTTTTCTCTCAAGAAGTCTAATTCTTAACATGTTCATCTTGGAATACTCTCGAATCATCTCGAGAGTCCTTAAAATCCTCTCACATAACACAATTTTTCTACTTGAAATAAACTCCATGAACCCAAATTAAAGCTCGCTCAGCATCCTTCTCGTGCAAGTTCCAAAAAACATTCATTATGAGATATCATACTACAGGAAAATCATCTATTACAATCAGTAATTATCTAATTAGCAAACCAAACCAATTATCAAACAAATCTTCACAAGGTCATGGATCATATGATTCTAAACTCTTTCATTTATTTTATTTTTTTCTATATTTAAGAAACTATATGTGTTACCAATAATAATAATAAAGGAAGACACAAAGTAAGAAAAAAAAAACTAATATGGACCTTAAAAAAATCAAGAAAGTCTTTGAGAAATTTTATAATCACAAAAACTATCGATAAGTAGTAATAATACATTTATAAAGTCCCAAAACCTTATCAATAACATATGATATGATCATAACATCAAAGCACATACATTTATATTTATGTAGATTTTTATTAAAGAGAAGAGAAATTAAGAGAGAGAGAGAGAGAGAGAGAGAGAGAGAGAGAGAGAGAGAGAGAGAGAGCTAAGTAGTTAACGAAGATCGGAGAATTTGGATTTGATCCACTTGAAGCTTGATCGGACGGAGGATTTGAGCTTGCCTTCCATGGTAAAGACGTTGTAGGAGGCCACACGGCGCTTCCGCTTTAGCTCCGGGTCGCTCGGGCCTGACCTCGGCCCGTTGAAGCTGTAGGAGTTGTTCTTTTCGGGCTCATCGTCGTACCCGAAGTTCGTGCTGTAGCCCGCCGACGGGAACGACCGGCTCTTCTCCATCTCTCGATATCTCTTTAGCCTCTCTTCTCTGAGAGAGAGGGAGAGAGAGAGAGTGCGTGTGTGGTGGGAGAGAGAGCAGAAGAAGACTGGCAGAGAGGTAAATAGAGGAGATTATTAAGAAAATATTGTGACTCAGTTTTGATTTAAAAACTTATTTATAAACTGTATAATAATAAAATTTTAGGATGATTTTAATTAAAATTGGGTTAGAATTTATACTATTAGAGGCTCAAAGGACGGCAAATTTTAATTTTAATTTCTTTTATTTGAGAGAAATTTCGGCTCAATTTTAAATTTATGATAATAATTTTTAAATTTTAATCAAATACATAAAAAAATATAAAAAAAAAGCATGGTAAAGGGAACATGAAGTGGTGAGTTCCACGTGTGTGATGCCTTCGGCTTTTTCTCTTTCATGCTTTCGGCGTTATCTTTTTTTTTTTAGGGTTTAGGAAAATTATTATATTTATCAACTGAGTCATGCGAAATGCATGGCATGGGTTAGGCCGGTATGACGTGTACGCTACATTAAAGGTTAGTTTTTCTTAATAAATATTTTACTTTATATATTTTATTATTTTATTTAAATTTTATTTGGAACCTTGTACTTTTTTATTTTTTGTACGACCATAAATGCAGCCAATTATGTAATGCTTAAACCCCAAACAAAATCTATGGTCAAGAGATTGGCTCAATTTTTTATATGCAAGCTCACTTTATAAAATTCTCATAGCTTCACTATAGAATTCTTTCTTTCTTTATCTATTTCTATGATCTCTTTTCACTCAATATTCTTGTTGTGTCCTAGAGTATTCGTGGCGGTAGAAAAATATAAAGTTTAGTGTCTTAGCGTGCACAAAGATCCAACACACAATCAGATAAGAGAGATTGTGGAACATTCATAAGAGACATTAGAGTTTTTATGTGGAAACCCCTGAAAAGAGGGAAAAATCACTGGGCTTGACCCAGTTTGAATGAATTCACTAGTATTTGCAGTCGATTAAAAATGAGGCCCTTTTTAGGGAGAAGGCCTTGACTTGGTGTCACAAATGTATATCATCTAGAGCGCATTACATTGTGGGAGTTACAATAATCAACATAGATATGTTTGTTTGGTCGGGAGGACCATAGTTGATAGGATAAAGGTCGGAAAAACCATAATAGGCAGTAGACCAAGGTTATAAAGATTGTAGTTGGCCAGAGATTGCGGTCAGAAAGACCGTTGTAGTAGCGCGGTACTCTGGTAGAACTCTAGGCATCAGGTGGTGGCTCGAAAGAAGTCCGGGCCTCAGGTGGTGGTCCGTTAGAAGTCCGAGCCTCAGGTGTGGTTCAATAGAATTCCGGGCCTCAAGTGGTGGTCTGATAGAAGTTCGGGCCTCAGGTGGTTGTCCGGCAGAAGTTCGGGACTTAGGTGGTTGTCCGGCAGAAGTTCGGG